ACGGATTGTAATATCTTGTTAAAATTCAATATATTAAGTTGAACACGTCTAGACGCAATTTAATTTCGGACTACATCTAATCGTGTTCTGATGCGATCTTGTTTGAAAACGCATCCCTATTGAAACACTTATATCCCTACGCGTTAAGTCTTTGCCTTGTGATTCAAAAAGTATTTACATGTGTTGTAAAAAAATAAAATAAAAGACTTTTTAGAGCGTTCTTCAAAATGGTACTTAGGTACATCCAGGAAATGTTGTTGACAAAAGAATGTTTTATCGACCAGACCAGATTTTTAATCAGATTTATCGTATAAATGGCTTAACTCAGAATTAATACAACAGTAACAAAATGGTCGTAAAATACTGTCCAGTTCGAACTTAGATATAAGCAGACACAAAAGTACCAAAAAACCAAAAATAAATTACGAATACTATTTTAAAAATCAACTATGATAGTGGATATTTTAGTCTTTATTTTTCTTCTTTTATTCTTGGAAAATTGTTTGATTATTAAAGGGAAAAGAGTCCTCTATTATACGAAGGACTTCTAATTTGTTGAAAGGCTTATAATATCCATTCTATTTAAAATAGCTTCTGACTCTCACTGACATAACTTTTTTGAATCAAAACTGGAATCAGAAAATCGCCTTATATCTATAAATGCTTGCTTTAAGAAGGTATCTCTGTGTAAACATCATCAATTTCACATCCAAGCAACTATCACGGTTTACAACAAAAGCCTAGAAAAACATCTCGAAAAAGTGAATACAAGAAGATGTGATATTAGCCGAGTACTTATATTTATCAAATAATTTGACTTTAGTGCTTGGCAATGTAAACTATAGAAATATTTTTTTTGCTTATATTTACATAAAAGCAATATTTTGAATATACAGAAGCGACATGAGAGAGACGCAGTTATATCCAAACTGAAATAGTTTAGTAAGTTTAGGCTGCAGACCGAAACCCAAACCCAACTTTCAAACGGTTTGGATCTGGTAAATTTTTAGTTAGGATCGAAGGGACCAATAGATATTGATATTGAAGTATCGAAATTATCAAATGCTCTTTATCATTTTTTTTTCATGCATTCTAATATGATGAATGTCGATTATAACGTATACAAGACGGAAATACAACTCAAACATACCCCTGTTGACAGCGTTACAACAATTTTCATATAAATATGTGCAACTGTGTGTATCTATTTCTATGGCGTGCGAATGATATTTATACATGCCAGAGCTTCGCAAAGGATGGAAAATTCCCATCTCATCCCATGGGACAAAACAGAACGTAAATATTTTGATAAATGTCCCATAGGATGGGATAATTTTCCGCAATTTCTGTCCCGTCTCATCTCATGGAACATTTATCAAAATATTTACGTCTCATTTCATCCTATTGGTCACATGAGACAAACAACCACTTATATAAACATTTTTTATATGGAAAGATGTAACTATTTTTGTCGTATAGATTGCGTTCTTGTCTATCGCAATAGAGATAGCGAAAATAGAATTTTGTTCTATTCCATAAATAGTTATGCATTATAGCAGTACGTATGGCATAGGTGTGAGAGAAGAGTATAGCAACATTCACAAAAATAAAAGCAAACGAAGAATATACATCGAAGACAAAATGATCTAATTTTATCGTCACATATTGTAACCAACAGCTTATATCGAAATTTTATTATTATAGTATTAGTTAAAGAACGATCAAGTATCACAAGAAAATAGAGGATTGTTTTTGCTATGGTTACATATAAAGAGAAATTTTCCTCAAGCTTTCTATACGAAAATAAAGTACTTCCACCACTAATTTCAAATTTCTTTCAGCAGTGTAATATTTTGTATAATTATTTAAACCGATAAATGTACCAATGAATTTCATTTTTTCAAAAACTGTTCGACGAATATGACGTTCCATGAGACCTTTTTATCTATCTCATCTCATTCTACGGGGAGTTTCAATGCATCTGCTTCTCTCAGTATCAAATATAGAAACAAGAGAATAAAAATTGTAATATCTAAATAACGACTGATTCAACATTACAGGACAAAAAGTAAATAAGTATGTGTGTATGTGATATGTAAAAGAGAGAAAAGAAGTGTGACATATTAGAATACTTTTAAGAAGGAAGAAAAAGAAAGCATAAGAAGAGAACCAATCCGTACATCCTTGTTTTGGAAAGGAAACATTGCACAGTTAAATCTGTATCTTTTCTCAGATGAAACTGAAGATAAAAAAGAAGAAAAGGAAATCAACAAGAAATAATGAATTTGTATAAGACACAACAGAAATAACTGATGAGATATACATGATGGTCCAAAAGTCTCTTTGCGTAGGAAAAACAATTTGAATATCTCTGACATATTTTCAACAAATAGGTTGTTTATTACCACTGATAATAGAGTGTTGATAGGTCATATTCATAAGATAAGTATTGACAAACACTGCTTCGAAGTATCATTATTGAAAATAATCTAATGTAATATAGCGACATAAATTATAATAAGAACAAATTTTGATATTTATTTTATGTATTAAATTCGACAATTATGGTACAATCTTCTTCATCGTCCTGGTGGTGGACATTGTGATGTCCGAAATATTGATTTACAATTTAAATAAAAAAAGAATAAATATCAAAATTTGTTCTTATTATAATTTATGTCGCTATATTACATTAGATTATTTTCAAATTTAAAGAAAAAATTCCATAATTTATTATTATTATTTTATTTTATGTATTAAATTCGACAATTATGGTACAATCTTCTTCATCGTCCTGGTGATGGACATTGTGATGTCCGAAATACTGATTTACAATTTAAACAAAAAAAGAATAAATATCAAAATTTGTTCTTATTATAATTTATGTCGCTATATTACATTAGATTATTTTCAAATTTAAAGAAAAAATTCCATAATTTATTATTATTATCATTATTGACTTCAATGAAGAATTGAATCTTTCAGCTATTACAGAAAAATTATGTTGCAGTTTTCGTAACAAATTCTTACTGTTTATAGCTGAAAATTTCAGAATACAATGAGTAATAAGACGTATATCTACAGTATAAAATTCACATCAAACGACACTTTTTCGAAAAATGAATAAGAAAAAATATGTATAGCTTACTTTTGGCTAAAGAAACCATTATATTACTTTTTCATAAGTCATGAAAGGTTACCATTCTTTATTGAGGTTAACGATGATACTTCAAAGCGGTGTTTGTCAATGTCTTTCTTATGAATATGATCTATCAACATTTTCTTGTAAGACGTAAAAAAAATGAACTTATTTATTCGAAGTATGATAGAGATTTTCAATTTCTTTGGTAAAGTTACTTTTGAACTATCCTGTATGTTTTTTTGAAACTTTCATGTTTTTTAATACGTATAGAATAAAGGCCTAGGTAAGAGTATATTAGAAAATCTGTTTCTAGACCTGTGTCTAAGTAATTTTAAATAAAAATTCAGCAAAAAATTCAATTTTTGCTAAGTTTTCTATTTAAACTCTAAGTAAATAAGTGTGATTTTCTAAGCAAAATATTGGGAATCGGTAGGTAAATAAACAATTTTTACTAAGTAAAGAGACTTTGGACAATTGCAAAGTCTGCTTTTCTATTCAAATGTATTGTCTGATAAAATTACTTTCCATATTCCAAATTGGATATCTTTAAATTGATCATAGAACGTCAATTTTTTCCTTTTGTATTTCTATATTTTATTGGTTGTAATATTTTCTGTCTCACCAATCGATATATAGTAATCAGTAAAACCTTTTGTTTTAGATAATATTTGTAATACTGATTTTGAGAACATTTCAAAATGATATGCAGCAGTCCATTTTTTTCTAATTCTCTTCTTTTCGTTTCTTGAATATCTTGCTAGAAAATTTTCATTGTGTTGTCTGATTGTGATGCGCTTCCATATCGTTGTGTTGCCAATAAAGCCCATCGGATCCGCATCTGAAAATTTTGAGTCAACCTGATCGAGGTCCAGAAATTTAAAACCTGACGGGTTCTATCCACAAAAAATTACTCAATCAGATTCGAGTCCAAAAATTTTGAGTGTGGGTGTGGGTGTGGGGTGTGTGTGAGTGTGGGTGTGGATGTGAGTGATCTTTCCCCTGATACCCACACCCACACACCCACACCCACACACGCCCCCACACCCACCCACCCACGCCCACAACCACCCACCCACCCACGCCCACACACCCACACCCACACCCACACGCCCACACCCACACCCACACGCCCACACCCCCACCAACACCCTCAAGTCTGTCGATCCGTGGAATCTCGTCTTCACAAGTGCATTGAAGTTGACGGTTTCCACTTCGAACAAGACTATTAACTGATTATAATGTGACTTTGTTTGAATTAAATACTATCTGATATTGATGCTAAATGTGAAAAGCACAGCATAGACGAAAATTTAACAGCAATTACAGATTATCGAATAATTTCTAGACCACTCTATCGTATGTCACAATCATAGAACTATCATTGTTTTTCCAAAGATCGTCGGCTGATTATTTTATAATCAATCTATATCGGCGATAGTATATGGAAGTATTCAGTAAAGCATTGTCTTTGCAACGGTGAAAACCACACCTCTCTATCTTGTTTCTATCAAAAGTTATTCGTAATCAAAGACTGTCCGGTAACTTGTGGACCATCCTCTACTGTTTTCGGTAGTTAATATTTTTCTTATTTTTAATGAATAAAGTAAAAAGAAAATATATAATCGGAAACAACTGAACCTATAATAGTAACAATGATAATGAGAAAAACAATAATAATAACGATGACGATGAACAAAAAAAGATCTATCCAGAAGACGCAGAGAAAAAGAGAGATTGATCGGAAGACGACTATCAAAGAGAAGCATCACAGAGAATGAAAACACCGAATGATTGAGAAAGTGCAAAGGTTAGCGTCAGAGAGTGACATTTGTTGATGCTCACAGCTACGCGCACAAAGCTATATACCAACACATACACCATTTGGGCAGAGACCACTTAAACAATCAGCATTAGTGTTGCAGCTCAGGCCATCTCCACAGCGTGCACAGAATGGGCCTCCACAATCGATATCAGATTCGTCTCCATTTTTAACATTATCAGTACATGTTGGAGCTACAGGTGAATAATGAATATTTTACTGTTATGAATAAAAGAAGACATACCAACACATGCACCATTTGTGCAGAGACCACTTAAACAATCAGCATTAGTGTTGCAGCTCAGACCATCTCCACAGCGTGGGCATACAACTCCACAATCGATATCAGATTCGTCTCCATTTTTAGTCTTATCTGTACATGTTGGAGCTACAGATAAATGATGAATATTTTACTGTTATGGACAAAAGAATACATACCAGCACATAGAACACCTGTGCATATGTCACTTACACAATCTGCATTAGTGTTGCAGCTCAGACCATCTTCACAGCGTGGGCATACACCTCCACAATCGATATCAGATTCGTCTCCATTTTTAGTATTATCTGTACATGTTGGAGCTACAGATAAATAATGAATATTTTACTGTTATGGATAAAAGAATACATACCAACACATACACCATTTGGGCAGAGGCCACTTAAACAATCAGCATTAGTGTTGCAGCTCAGGCCATCTTCACAGGGTGCACAGAATGAGCCTCCACAATCCATATCAGATTCGTCTCCATTTTTAACATTATCAATACATGTTGGAGCTACAGGTGAATAATGAATATTTTACTGTTATGGATAAAAGAAGACATACCAGCACATGCACCATTTGTGCAGAGACCACTTAAACAATCCGCATTAGTGTTGCAGCTCAGGCCATCTCCACAGCGTGCACAGAATGG